TTAACATAAGTGACATAAGCATGGACATCAACATACAATCTTTCAGCTTTAACTTTCTCACACTGAAAAAAAGAGAAATTCAGACTGAATTAAAAATACACCCTTTGTGAAACCTGTATTATAAAAACATATAAAATTACACAAAAGTTTGTTATTGCACTCTTGGCTTTAAAGTTTCCCTTCAAAGTTTTGTTTCTCCTACACAGCAATCAGAGATACACCATGCAAGCACAGGCAAACTTGCAGCAAATTTAAGGCATGCTGAAGACAACACAAGCTAGAACAAAACTCACATTTCTTGTAGTTTTAGTGAACCATTACCATAAGGTCAACTAGTTAATTTTTAATTTTTATTTTAGAAAAATCTCTTAGAAATGTCCTACGTATGCTCCTTTGTTCTCTTCATTTTTTCCCTTCTTTCTGAATGCCATTTCTTATGCCAGAGGAAAAAAAAAATCCATTTATTATTGCATCTTTATATATACAGAAGATGGTCAAAGCACATACATGATGACCCATTCCTTAGCTGTTGACAGTGGAGTTGGAAAACACTGGGAACACTTTTTTGATACTATTTGAATTATAAAAGTGTTTTGAACACATAAACTTGAAAAGACTGGTTGGCCATAGCTACCTTAAAAACAATTCTGAGCTTGTATGGACAATTCCCTAGCTCTTAATTTTAATGTGAAGTTCTACTCTGAAAAGCAATCATCAAAGCAACATCTTTGTCCTCAAATAAGTGGTTTTTTTTATGTGTGTAATGCATGTTCCTTTTAGTAGCTCAGTTAACTTTTGGTTTTCTATAATACTCAGAGGGAGCTTGAGTATTCAGGGTCTGAGGTCATGACTGCATTCTTAACTGAATCCCAGTGGAAATATCATATAGCATCTGGCCTTTATGAATCAATATAGGGTGGGTGCTGGGAAAGAAAGGATAATCCTTTGTTCCCATCTACTTCTGCACTGGAGCAATCATAATATACCCAGTGACCAGAATCACTTGCTCCTAGTTTCACCTGGAGCAGGTAATGTGGTGACATGGGCTTGTCAGTCTTTCAACCACTCTAGTGAACTAGACAAATGCAAATGCGATGATTCATTAAGTGACATCTGAGCTCTTGGGAGTCCTTGGGGAAGAGTGCCTGAGCCACCAGAGTTAATTCTGCATGAAGTTCCAGAGGTAGCACAACTCTGTATCCCTTCCCATCCCCTGCCAAAGCAGGCACTGGCACCTTTATGGGACCATCCAGACTATAATCCAACCAGAAACAGTCCAGTCTGACTTGCAGATGCCAGTGCACTTAACTTCGGTTGGGATATATAGAACTCCTCCTCTTGTAAATGGAAAACATTTTGACTAAAAGCTGTTGAATTGCAGCAAGTAGTGAAGTCCACAGGGCTTTTTTCAGTGTCATTTGGTAGAGGAAAAGAAAAAGCCTTCAAGGAGGTATATGAGTCATGGGATTGGGTTTCCAGAGAGCTCTTTGGGATTCTTCTAGACCAAGAGGTTTCTAGCACTCAGAGCAGGGGCTGTGTGAAATTCAGCAATTTTGACTGTCATGCTATTTTTCAGTTCCAGCTTTCATCACTTTGTGCCTTTTGGGTCTAACTTTGCCTCCACTTAAGTGGTTGTCAATGTAGAATAAATCACATGAAGAATACTTAGGGCCATGCTCTTTGCCCAGCCTACATAGTATAGGAAGGAGCTAAATCCTCAGAAATGAAGGGGTATACTCTCCTCCTCAGCAGGGCTATTGAAATCCTGGAGAACAAACTGATAAGCTGAAGATGAGAAATAGTTGTTTTCTCTAGCATGTACTCCATTCAAATCTGTGAGGACTCACAGCCCTTTGCTGCTTTTTAGAATAGCAGGAAAAAATCTGCTGTGTCTTTTGAGCACAATACATGATAGAAGAGAGTAAAAAGGAATGTATTGCACAATGCATGAGTAGCTTCAGTATGAATTAATATATTGTGATGGGTTTAGGGGACAGAGGGGTGTCCAGAGTTGGACCTGGAACAGTCAAGCCAGTGATTCATGGCTTTCAGTAGTGAGGCCAATGATTCTTGAATTCCAGCCTCTGCAACTATGCCTTGCCATTCATTCTTTTTCAGATGCAAAATATTGCATTCTTTCTCAAAGGGACACATGCTAAAGGACTTTGGGACTAGCTAACAAACTGGAAATTTAAGCCCTGCTTTTTTACATGTTAAGACAGGAGATAAACTGGTTTCTTGATGTACATTTTTAAAGAAGAAAAAATAGTGGCCTGATTCTGACTTAGACTCTTGTATAGGGAAGCTCAAAGCTCTGAAGACTCTACAGAGGAGCCAGCTTCACAGTAGGAAAAGCTTATTTTGTTATTATTAGCAGCCTGAGGTGTGCTGATTAGTTTACTCCTGGTATTCTGCCATCTCTTTTAACATGCATTGCCACAAAATGACTCATGAGAAGGGGATTTGAATGGAGCTTAGTCATTTTGGCACAGATTCCAACGCTGATCATAGGGAAACCATTTACTTTTCCAATTACGTGGTCAAAGCACAACCTCAAGTACTGCACAGTCTTCTCTTCCCATGTTAACCTAATAAACAGAAGAAAGTAAGTGTTTGGTGAACTTTATAGTCAGAAACTGTACACAGAGACTTCAGGCAGTCGATTTCCCTTCATTAATTTCATGATACTCTTGAAGACTCTTCATGGAATCAGTTTTCAGAAACGTATTTCGACACCAATACTACAGGTATAAAAACTATAATTCTTCTCTTCAACAGTCAGTGTTAGAAGTGACATGTAAGTGATCTGTCAGCTCCAATCCTTCAACTGGAAAGGGTTTAAATCAACTCTCTGGTGGAAAAAAAAATCTGATGTAAAGTTGAGCTACACCTTAGCTAGACAAATCTCATTAAAGCACAAACTTTAAACAAATGCAAGGCTTTACTGTCACCTACACATTTGTACTGCCTAGCTAATCCACACAATGGTCTGCTCACCATGAACTCTTCTCCCTGTGGGAACTGAGAGTGATTTTCACATTTTTTAACTTCAAAACATTGCTTTCCTCCCCTCTTTCCCCCTTAATTCCTCTCTCCCTCTGATCATAGAAATCCTCTCAGTAACTCTTACTCAACACTGGAAGGCATTTCAGTGCTTCGGTGTGTCATGGATCCTCACATCCGTTACTGTTTACAGAACTGTATCCCACGGTTAGGCAGTATTGGGCTGATCCTCGAGTCACTGAAGTCGGAAGAGATTTTGCCACAGACAATAATGAGCATAGGATGAGGTCCATGCAGCAAATTTTGTATTACATTCAAGTGTATTTTTATGTAAAAGGTATTTTTCACTTAATGTAAATGACAGGGCTTCAGTATCCAATCGGTGTATTTCCAACTCCGTGCAAAAAGCGTTTTAATTTGCTATACTTTTGGTTCAAGTGCACAAAATGAAGTGGAGTAGTTAAAAACAGGCAAGTAATGTACCTGACGATTTACCATATTTTATTTATATTATTATATAGCTATTAGATGTAATATTCTCTGCTCCTGTCAGTCTCTGCAATGTGTTTGATGATTCGGGGAATAAATAAAACCTGGGGTTAGCAAATAAATGAGAGCAGAATTGGCAGCACACCAAGTCTGCTTTATTTGACTGAGAGAGAGATGTGTTACATGGCCTGTTTGTTTAAATTATGCCAAGAGCTGAGATACACCAGGTGTTGTAGACCATGGAGTAGAGCCTTTAAAATGTTTGCAAAAACCAGATTCTATTTACTGGTTTGCCAGAATACAAAATGAGAAGGTTTACACTGGGAAGTTGGAAGAATGGGACTCTGTGCTACTATTTTCCTATCATTTTTATTAATTAAAGTTACAGAAATATCACATTTGTACTATCAGTGACTATCCAGTCCCTCTGAGTCTGTCTCTATGATGGACTCTGTAGTATATGTAATTCTGTAAAATTATTTTAATTATTATAATATTTCAGAAACATGATAAAACAGTTAATACAGATGAAACCATGCCATCTTTATTCAACTAAACTTTGCTTAAATTCAGTACATGGGAGCTGGGTCTGAGAGATTTAATCTTTCAGGGGTTTTCCCCCCACTACCTCTTCAATCAGAGGTGGCTAGAGAGAGTGCGTCAAAAACCAAGGAGATCCTGAGCTGTTCTTTCAGAATGGGCATGGAAGTACACAGCTCCGGTGCCACAAAGAGACCTTAGTATAGAGGATCTAGTACAAATTATGCTTAAAATTGTTAACTTTTGCTTATGATCATACTGGGGATGTGTTCAGGCGTTTATTGCAGAGGTGGCTGGGCCACCAGCTTTGTGCTGGCCACCAGCTGTTTGTGCTGCTCTCCACAGCTTCCTGCAGAGCCAGAGGAGTGGGGCAGATGAGTGATCCTCACCCACTTCATTGCAAAGTCAGCCAAGGCAGTTTAACCTACCACAGAAGAATGCTTGAAGTAATCCACTTAACTTTGCACTGCTGTGGGGCCCATAACCTTTGGCAAGGGAAGAGGTAAAACCAGCAGGAATTTTTTTCTAAAGCTAGTAAAGCAGTTTCTGCAGTGAACATCAGACCACAGCCTGCATTTGGGTCAAAACTTGCAGGAGGGTGGTGAGGTGGGGAAAGGAAGAGAGAAAGTGTGTGTGGGAGAAACGAGGACAGAGGGAGAAAGAAATGAAAGAGAGAAGCAGAGAAGAACTACTCGTTCCCTCTTTTAACTGTATGATCTGTTACCAGCCCTCTGAGCAAAACATATTTGTCTACCAACAAAACAAAGGCTAATGCATGTGAGCCTTCTTTAAGTTTCACCCAGTCATTTATTTGTTTTAGTGATTTTCTTCCCTGCCTTGAATAGAAAAAGATTACTTTTTAAAAACCAACTGCAGCAGCGGTGACATGAGTTATCTTCCAACAAAAGTACATTGTCTAGGATTCAGTTATCTCAGAGACTGCCTTTTTCTCTGTATCTTCTAGTGGTTATAACTTACAACTGCCTGGAGTGTTTTTATTGTCTGGTTCAAACATCTTGATGGACAAAACATTCCTACTGACTCTCTCTGGAACTCTCTCTCTCTTGAAGTCTGCCAAAGCCTGAGCTTCAGCATGCACAAAACACACTGTAAGTAACATCTGCTTAATCTCACTTTGCATTTAGCAAGAGGATATTGGGATAGTCCCAGAAAAATGCTGAGATACTTGTGTTGATCTAATGAAGAACATAATAATGCCATGCTTATGTAAAGTGTGTACTTGTGTACACTGGTTAGTGGGGCTGAGTTGGGATAAATAAAGAAAGGAGATCCCTAGGATAAATTCCTAATTCCAGCAAAATCAGAGGTAAAACTACAACTGACTGTAGTGGGACCAGCATTTTGTCTCTGATTTTTTGGCTCAGTAGTTTATCCATTAGCATATCTGTATCTGATCAGTTGTCTGTCTGCATAAGCAACATGGAGCTTGCTTTTGTACAAATATACACATTTGTTAATATAACTTCAAAAGCTTCTTGACAAGAAAGTCAAGAATCCACTCATTCTCCATTAATATGAGCACAAGTATTAGAACACAGGATGGATTATATGTATGAAAATAAACTACTGCTTATCTCACTGCTGAAGTTTTTAAAAACATTTTTTTAATGGTCTTACAAGCAAAATAGATTCAATAGGTCTGATCTGTCAATATGTTACTCCATTTATGATGTCAGTATGACTCCATTGATTTTTTTGCTATTATGGCAGTGTAAAAATGAAATAACAGAGTGTTGAATCAAACCTATTCGAAGACTGACTGATGATCGTGTTCAGAAATCAGATGAATTAAGAAAAGCAAAATATGTTGAGAGGAGGTGATGTTCCAGCTGTGCTGTAGTGGGAGGAAGGATCACACACTGTAACAAATAAGATGGTTTCAATGATAAAACACATGTTTCACAGTGGAGAAATTATGTGAAATGTCAGGACTATATATGATTTGTTTAAAAGCCTCATCATTGTCTAAAAATAGCCTCTAGCCTGTGTTTTTCCTCTTTGAGAACTACACTGATCTTCAATTCTGCATCTCTATTTCTTCACAGAATAAAGTTTGCTAAGTATGGGTTGCACAGGCAATAAGATTTGTTGCTTTGGGACTTGGGACAAAATCTAATTTTAGTAGACTCTATGCTTCTACTTACAGTTTTGAGGCAGAATATCAAATGAGCTGTTTAGCTGTGTTAGAGCCACATGTTTGCACTGGTTACAAGGTTCATTTTCGTAATTCTTTAAGTGGCTGGCCTTCACCCTAACATAAAAGCAAGTCTTATTCCATTAAGCCCTCAGTTCACCCAAGTTACTAAAAAATGGGCCCTCTGTATATTCTGAAGTTTAGTTCACATTAGCCAGCTGCTTGGTTAGGATAATTTAAACCAAAACAAGACTATTGCTTTTCTCTAAATAGGTGCTGTAGGCCACAGTATGTTGTGGGCTTAAACTGCGTTATATCACTTTAAAACATAAGCCTCAAACATGAGAAAAACGTGTGTGATAAAATAAGACCAACATTGTTTTTGACCTAGTTTGAACAAAGGTGCAGAAAATCAATGAGCCCCAGAGCAGCCTAAATGCTTTGTTAGCCTTTTACTACAACATTATATATTACATGCAAATAATGGCACAAATTTAATGCTACTATTCATGTCAAGTGATTTCTTTGAATCTATATTTTATATTTTACAGATCTTGAACAGTAACATTTTTCTTTTTAGTGCAAAGTTGCTCAAGGTTCACTGGAGACTCTTTTAAATTGCTGCTTTCAGAGAAATAACAATGTAAAATGACATTATGATGTATAGCATCCTTCTGAAGACTTGAACCAGTGCAGCAGCAAGCCGCTAAAACCTCTGGGAATGAAGCAATCTCCAGAGCACTATTGTCCAATTGTCCTAACTGGATCATTTTTAATTAGTTGCAATTAATTTCAAGTGACAGCACACTGAACTATCAAATCAGGAAGCGCAAAAAAACACACTGGAATTTGGAAATTATCATTGTTAGATAGCTTCTCTATTACAGAAGAGAACTGGATCTGAATATTACCTGCCTTAATCTATATAATTTTTCATTAATTTGTTTCTATAATAAAGATAAGACATGCAATGATGTTGCTAAGGTAGTGACAGAGCTTTAGCACTTGGCCAGCTAACATGCATCAGGCTAACAAGTAGTCCCTACCTTTTTCTATTGGAGAGATTGTCTCTGTTATGGCTAAAATGGTTTAGGATTATGGAGACAAAAGGCTAAAAATTATCTGCATTTTTGTCTCCATCCTGTCCCAATGGGTTGGTTATTCCTGCAGGGACTCAAAAGACCTATGTTGAGACACAGTCTTTATCTGTAGATTTCAAGAGAAACTGAGGTTTACCCCTCTGTGAAGGTATGTTAGAAATCTTGCATTTGTCAGTGCTAGAGGCATCCAAACAGAGGGATTTTGCTACCAAGACATGAAACAGTACCTATGACCACCCAAGTCTCCAGGCCTTGCAGCAGTTACTCTGTCCATGACTGCCCTGGCATGAGTAACCTGTACCCAATTCAGCACGGTTTGGGGGTGAGGAACTGCTGGATCTTTTCCTTTCTGATCAGTGCATTAGAAAGTTCACACAGAGGTTTGCTGTATCCTAAGGCTAGAAGCAATACATACCAGAGAAGTGGCTGTCTTTCCTTCTGTGTCTCCTTAGCACCATCAATTGGCACCAGTGTGCCTTAGAGATATAGACAGAAGTGCCATAGATCATACATTTCACACCACAGATAGGTCACTGAATTTAGAATACTGAATTATGCTGTTAAGTGTTTCGATTTTGTAGATATTGTCAGGCCATATCTATGACAAATTAAAATGCTACATCATCAAAACTTGACACCACTAGAGGAAAAATATGTCTATGAGGTTAAATGGGACCAAATTTTCAATAAAGTTATTTTAATGACAAGATAGACCCCTACAATTCAAAGTGCAAAACAGATGTTCTCAAATGAACTTAATATGAATGAAAGAAGCTAAATCATCATTTGTAGAAACTGAAATCATAGACAGACAACACAATCGATGGGGGAAGACACAGTGCTCACTGTTCTGTGTGCCAGAGCCCTTCCGTCACAGCCAAAAGAAAAAATGTCCTCCAAGGAGCTAGTGTGTGACATTCAGTCCTTACTAACTGTGTTGAACTTGCCAGAAGATATCTGGGTGGCATTGTGAGGTACTTGTTCCCTTCTCTGCCAGTTCCTCTGCACTTGAACTAAAATAACTAACTTGCTTCACAAACCAGTTTTCAGATGTCAACTACTGATATTGTCAAACCATACATACAGCAGAGAGGTGGTGTAATGTGGTCTTTGTATAGTCTCCTCTCTTATAAACACCATATTATTCTGTCTCTCTGTGATTACTTTGATTGTTACTCATCAGATTTTTACAATTTTGGAATTTGATCATGAAGATGACTGAGTTGGGGGAATGGGAACTTTATGAAATAAAGAAATTATTATTATTATTATTATTATTATTATTATTATTATTATTATTATTATTTTCTGAGCATTAATGTATTCCTGTGATAGGTGGGTCAGTCAGCCATTTTTTTTCAGGAAAATACTGCTGAAGTAGCAGTTACAATTTCACCACCATTTGCAAAAAAAAAAATGCAAAATAGGAATCTATGTAATTCTCAGAAAGAAACTTGCACTCCCTCAAACAAGGCCTCTGTCTTTGAATCATGTTTATATACCAAGAATGTTTTGCTAGCCTTATGAATCAAGGAATCTACTAATTATCAAATGATTTCATGCTGGCAAATATGATAACTAAAAATACAAAAGTACTTCCAAGAAGATCAACTTCTTCTTATACCCTGTATCTATCTAAAGCGTTTTACTTTCTCAGCTGAAAATGTCTAAATTTGTTCATGTAACAAAGGCAAAATGTTTGGAATGATTGAATAAAGTTAGCTCATGTATTTTTAAATATGATTTACTCAAAGGAACTCGATGGTTCTGTCTTGTTTATAGCCCCCAAAGATCAAGTTTATTATATTACAGCATCCTGCTCCTCCACCTGCAATCAGCTTCCACTAGGCCAGCTGCAGCAAGCACACATGGCAAGAGGCAGTCTCATGGGACCTCATGCTAGGAGTAGGAAAGATTTACAAATGATACGTAAAAATCAAAACACAGCAATGTGAAGCCTCAGTACTGAAGTCTCATGAAAAGTCAGGATCTGATCCAGAATAAAATACTGGTATTTTGGTACCCTATCCAGGGTCCTCATTATTAGACAAACTGATCTTTAATGAGGAACTAGACAGAATTGGACTAGGCTCCTTTTTACAGCACAACCTATCTAATTTCTGCTGTGTCAAAATGTCAAAAATTTTTCTTTCTTTCTTTCTTTCTTTCTTCTTTCTTTCTTTCTTTCTTTCTTTCTTTCTTTCTTTCTTTCTTTCTTTCTTTCTTTCTTTCTTTCTTTCTTTCTTTCTTTCTTTCTTTCTTTCTTTCTTTCTTTCTTTCTTTCTTTTCAAGGTCTTTTTTTCCTTAGAGGGACAGAATTTATCTATAGCTGAGAACCAACACAAACTGCAATAGGACTGAGGACTATCTATCACTAGAACACAACTTATAGCAAGATAGAGGGAAAAAAATGCAGAACTATTTCATTTTAGTAATGCACCTGTACATGATTTTCTTATTACACACTAGATTGCCCCAAATTACAGATGTGTTAGTATAAAAGATAATATAACCTGCCTGTACTTCTAAGTGCTGGCTAGTGCATGGGTTTCTTTTTTTTGTGGGTTTCTTTTTTTTCCTCCTTTTTAGTTACTTGGCTTAATCAACAAGATTCAAAATAATAACATGACTTTTGACGCTGTTCTATGATTCACAATATTCAAGGAGCATCTATTTTTGTTTGTATAATATCACAGCATAAATGGTGTCGTCTTTTAACTGAGTGTGACAGGAGCTTAATTCCTGGTGCCTATGAATCAGGTCAAGAGCTCTGTCGATGACAGTGAGTTAAAGATTTACAGTAGACCAGACAAACTATAAAAACCTATGGTAGGGATTATGAGTTATCAAGATG